AACGTTGAAAACTGTAAATATTTTTACAAACAAAATCCGATAACTGGCGACTTTTAGTATTATTGGGCATGCGAAAGTAGAGACGTTTTGATTATCAACATCGAGATCTTGTATTTGGGCAGGCGTTTGATAACGCTCACGCTATACTATTTAAGCCACATTGTTAACGAAAATCCCTATTTGAACTAGATTTTCTCATTAATTTAAACATGATTTAGCGATTTTCTGTGTCCTCCGAATAGAAAAGATACAGGACTTGTTGAAGGTTTTTTTCTGCCTAAATCTTAGCATAATTATGTTTTGATCAAAGGACTCATTAAAAAGCAATTAAAGTTTGTCAAATCCCAGAATTATCATTATGATAGAATTGTTTTAGTCGGATTGATTTGTGATTAACTCGACTCGAGGCGCCCGTTTACTCTAAAGTTCATAACTGCCGGTTGTTAAGGGTATGGAGACGAACTAGTATAAGATCCTTTATCATTCGGTTATCTTGTTTCATGATAACAATGGTATAAGTGCATCAAACAGAAAGAGATAGTAAAAGATTTTTAACATAATTTCAATATCTCAAAAGCAACAGCAGAAATGGAAAAGATTAACCAAATACCTGGAAAACAGATACATCAACAAAGTAAATGAAAACAAAACAGTTTTTTCCATTGTATACAACAGACGAAGTTACAATAAAATAAAAACTGTGATAATTAACAGAAACTTTTTTTTGTGTCTTCCTTTACAGCCCAACATAAAATCTCACAACCTACTTAAACTTCAAACGTTGAAAAATAAAGAAATTTAGAGCCTCCCAGCGTATATTTTAAGTTTTAATTTAAGCAAGAATGAAAGTCCCGAAATACCTTCCATCGCTTACGAAATGATCACAATATTAAAATTTAACCAGTTTTACTCGACTGTGGCAGTTGCTAACAGTTACAGTCTCACAGGTCATCTAATCTGAATAACCCCACCGTGGCCTATCGGCAAGAATTAAATAGCTAAGTCAAACTCCCACAACTCCAAACAAGATACGCGTTTCTCTAATTTATGGAGACGTCAAACTCACAAATTACAATCCTGATGCCGCTACAATTAACTTTCACAAGGATTTCACACTATTATAAAACAGTACGCGTTGGAATTATGGTGTTGGAATCCTTGCTGAATAAATAAACTTTATCATCTTCTCGATTCTACAATGCATTCTGATAAAAGAAAATCCGAATTACAATTAAGCTTTTTAAGCGGTTGAAACAGCTCGAAAAAATACATTTCGTTAATTATTTAATATTTTTTCACAGAATGAATTTAGGCCTCTGAGATTGTGTCAAAAAATGGTTAAAAAAATAAAAAGGTTTGTTACAGTGTTACAGCATTAATTGTTTGCCAAAAACAAACGATTCAATACTATAAAATCCCTAAATTTGAATTCTTAGCATACTTAGGAAAACAAAACAAAAAATGATAGGTTATCATAGACCGTACTTAATAATATTTATAATGATAGAGAGAATGGCAAATTTTTGACCTCTTTTTAAAGAGCTAAATAACATTGAAAAACTTCTGAAAAATGTAAAATCTTAGAATTTAATATTTAAACAAATAGTACAGCCTCTTCTGAAAAATAAATTTAGTTAAAATAATTATTCTTATATGTAACTGGAATTAGTTGGTCTGCGCTGGCAACACTTGTTGAACTGATCGTCACTGATCACTTTTTTGAGCTCGTCTATTCTCGCTGATATACGCTTCCCTGTTACGAAATTCGATCAGTACTGTAACAACAGTTATGTAAGAAACTGGTGAATTTATTTTTATTTATAGTTGTAATATAGTTTCAAATGATTTTTACAGTTTTACTAACTAAATGTTGTTGATAATAAAACATTAATTCATAATCACTGGATCATCAGCCTATAGAAATAGCACATAATCAAGGATGGCTTAAGGAGTAGTGCTGTCGCCATTTATATTATTTCTAGAAGATGACTTAATCGTAGAGTTTAGCCTAGCGTATTTAGGTTAGGCAGATGACCTCGTAACAGTCATATCAATATTTGATGAAACACGTTGAATGAGATTCAAATTGACCATACATTGTAGAAATGTGGTGTAACAAAAATGGGTGTAAACATCAACCCTAAGAAAAAAAATCTCTTACTCTCTACTAGAAAAAGAACTCTAAAAGCTCCCCCAAAAAAGGCACCTTGGACAAAGAAACTAAGTACCTATGTATAACTCCTATAGGTCAAGTGGTTAAGTCATGTAGGCAACATTCTACATTGCTTCCCGATTTACTCATCGTCAACAAGACAAGAGGATCTTTAACGTCCGCACCTGGCTCATGGCCTTATCGGACGCTTTGATTCTCAAGATGAGAGCTGACGCACTTCTGCATACGACGGAATAGTGTTACCGTCGCAGCATTGGTGTAGTGGTGTCCCGGCCCCTAAGGGTCAGTAGCCACGTTCTCCGCTTGTCCACTCCGAATGGTCGGGCCCGCATTGTGCGTCGGGTCGTACGCCGCACGCGAGGGGCTAACGGGCNCTACTTAAGGGTTGTTCCTACACCCACTCCGGTACCTGTTAGAGTCTTCTCCCACACGAGTTCGGTGACAATGACGACTATGAGGTTAGTTAATCAGTTCTATTCACCTCGTTGGTTGCCCTTTGGTGAGCGACGGGGACCCTAATATATAGAGCCAACCGCCGCCCCCAGAGCCTAGAGACATTACTCCGCCACTCTGCTCAGGCCACTTTGGAGAAATATGATCGGTACAATACCAATCTTTGTCTTTGCGGTTTCCATTTGGAATCTGTTTTTGGGATTACCATTTGTTTTCTTCACTTTGCGGTCTCCATTTAGTTTTCTTTACTTTGCGGTTTCCATTTGGTTTTACCTTTCGGTTCCCATTTGGTTTTATATAGTTTTATATACTTTGCGGTTCCCATTTAGTTTTATTTTTTTCTCCGTGGCCAGGCCAGCAGCGAAGGTTTCAGAGATGAATGGATGGACCGAGGTCCCTTACACTCGCTCGACTTCTCCTGGTAATAAAGGCCAGGTGTAGAAAATCATCTCCCCTTCTGCGGCATCGCGCCGAAATCCACAAGCACTTTAGTCGACTTACTTTGAGGCAACATTCTACAGAAGACCAAATCCGTACAAAGAATTTGGAGAGATTATGAAGCAAAAAAGGGGGTATAAACCCAAGAATGATGAATGTTTTATGTGCCGCATCGGGCAGACCCCGTTCGTCACATATGAACTACCTCTCAGCAGGCAAGATTTGAGGAAAATTACAAGCCACTATACCGTCCACTGCCCTCTTAACTCTCTCTTAAAGGAAATTGGAAAAACATAAATAGAAACATGCCGACTCTGTTAAATGAAACCAGAGACATCGGCATCACACATACTTTGCGAATGTGAGGCACTAGCCTGTATGCGGCTATGTATTCTCACAAGAGGAGTGTGCTGTAAGGTACCAAGTAAGGGGTTTTATGAGAAAAAGTAATAGAATAAATGTAGGGTATAGAACTAATCATAGGGTTCCACAGTAGACCTATAAAGGTCGCAGCGGAAAACAGGTTGGAATCCTTAAACTTTTCACCAATGTTTGTTTGTTCAATCTGTCTTGTCTTCCATTTTTTTCGACCAGCCTTGGATAAGACCAAAGTGTTCAGGGAAGAAGAGGTAGTGTGCAAAACATTCGAGATAGATGACGAAATGGCGTTATCGTCCACCTAAGTTGTAATGATGATATTAGGGGATATATGAATATGCAGGGAAGCAGTGCAAATGATATAAAAGATGGGATCAAGAATGCTTCCTTGTGGGACGCCAGCTTGTGTTTTCCGACTACTAAAAACTCGTTGCTGTACCTCTCTCTCTGAAACCGAGATTGATTAGATAGGATTTCAGAATAAGGTAATAAGGACGGAGTATGAAACATTTCAGTTTGTAGAACGTGCCCGGATAGCAGCATTCTCTAGAAAAAAACCCTCGTTGGATCGTAGAATGATGTGGACGGAAGCCGAATTGATGAGACTGAATGATTTTAAGAGTATCGAGTATGGGTATTAAACGCATTGAAAGGAGTCTTTCAAAGATTTTGAATATTGAAGGAAGGTGGGTATGTAAGAGTGGATGTAGCTGGATGGAGCTTTAGTAATGAGAATAACGACGGAATATTTCCAAAAGCGGCGAAAGTGATTAGTTCGTACGATGGCATTATGTATTATAGTTAAGCTTTTTTGTAGAATGATTCCTAATATGGTGGAAGTATTTCCAATTGTACGCACTTTTCTAGTATATTTTTGTCTTAATGTGAGACCGTCGTTAATACATACGTTGTGGCTTTGTGTCAAACCGATAATTTATTTTACATTTTTATTCGATCAATGGATATTAACTTGAGTTCATAGTGGTCTTAATATTCAATCATGACCTTCGATGCAAGAAAATGTATGAATAAGTAATGCAAATATTCAAATTTTCAATCCTCAAGGCAGATCGTCGAAAATCCATTATTCCTCTTACCATAAATCCTAGGATATCTTTAAAGGGGGAGTTTTCCCGGGGTGACTGGGATCATCTTATCAATTCAATCAGCTCGTATTAAAATTGTAAACTTTATAAGCGTTATTCTATTGCTATATTTGGTTTCGTACAGCGTAGCGTTGTTGATGGACTGGTGTCGAAATTAATTTTCCTTCAGTAAATGAGATAATTTAACATAAATCAATATCAAGGCCCAGTCGATGTTAATCAGGTCTAATTGTTATACAACATTATAATTTACTCTCCCGTCCTTTTGTCATTGAAATCAGTGTCAAATTGGCCCGGTCAGCTGGTAAATGTACAATGGCCTATTTACATTCCACACGAGCCCACCATATACATGGTCCACCGAGGGATAATTATGGCCCTGTTAATCGGCGATCCGTTTAATCCGCATTATCATCCATTTTGAGTTTGATCGTGACTTTTTGTCTTTTCAGTTCCTCCTGATATTTTGGATTCGGGCACGAGCACGGATATGGTCGTGAGGGAAGGGAGCAACGTCAGCTTCAGGTGTGCCGCCTCCGGATCGCCCGCCCCCAGCATCGTTTGGAGGAGAGAGGGCGGAGAACCGATCCCACTTCCCAGTGGTCAAGAAGGTAAACTCACTACAATATATATTCTCTTAACAATGCTTTGCCTCAAATAATATGATTGATATTATACACATTATAACCTAATTGATTAACTTGTTAATGTTACATCAGTTATACAAACATTTTAAAGTTTATCGCAATGTTATTTGTCTAATGACACGTAAACTTCTAACAAACGGCGAAACGTCCAAAACTAATTTATGTTGGTGTTTATGTTTGATTGCCCTTTTTATTATAGAAGGCTCTTTTTAACGGGAAAAACACGGAAATCAGAAATAGAGCGAAAGTAGCTTTGCTGGAGCTTAATTAACTCCCTGTGCTGTACGAAGAAAAAAGCTCTTTAGATGTTCCCAAGTGTATCCTGAAAGAGATTTATTTCTAGATTAACTCTTTTAACTATTCCTAAAAAATTAAAACATTCCATCAAATTTCAAATCTAGAGCGAAACACGTTATAAAAATTAAACTACAATTTTAATATTCTTTTATGTTTTATTTAAGTAAAAATTTAACTAAATATTAATAACAAGAATACATGCGCTTTATCCAGAGAGAAAATATTTCTTAAAGCATTTTTGTTACTCTGAAAATTCTAAGCTACTGAGTTTTTCTTTTAGATTGCAGTCTTTTCAAATACCTTGACCTTAATATTTAGCCCCTACCTCTTACTTGGGTTGCTTTAGTTCTTCTCTGTCTAACCTCGCTATTTTAACTCTAGTCTCTGCGAAAAGAAGTTTATTAGTAACAATTGATTTTGCTTTTTCATCAAGACCATAGCGTCATCCAGAGTCCTGGTGAGAGCGCCACAAGACAGTATATTTGGACCAATCCTGTAACTTATCTGTGTGTCAGATATCCCAACTACACCCTCCACGCTTCTTGCTTACCCACTCCTCTGATTCCCATTTCGCAATTGCTTTGGAGGAGCGCCTGTCACACGTACTGCAAATAGACGAATGGGGTACATCCTATGGTGTAAATTTGGAGTTTGGTTTTTCGTGGTTCTTTTCTGCTAACCTAGTTCTTTTAGCTGCCCCGTCGGTGGCCACTATGATTTAGGTTTAGTCTATGATTATGACAAAAAAAGAATGAAAATGATCGGAAACGACAACTTACATTTTAACTACTTATCCTGTTAATCGGGCAGCGCCATTGGCCAGCTATCGTCAGCACCCATCCAAACAACATTCATTCACTTCCTTTTCTGCCTCTCCTCCAAGACACGGTGCATAAAAATTAATAAAACTAAATGAAATCAGATAACTTGTAATTTAAAAAGTTCTACCTACTGTTCCTGTGTTGCACGTAATGGTAATATTCTTCTTCTAGACACTGCAGCAACAATACGTAAAGCAAACTAGTCCAAAAAAGATAAAATACGACTACGGCTTCTACATAAACTGGAAATGGAAAAACAAATTAAATTGTCGTTAGAAAAAAACTTACAAACGTTCAACATATCAACACTTTCTGGACGTTCGAACTTGACCTGGTACTAGCATAAAATCCAGCACAAACCGACACAAACACAAACAAACATAAGCACAAACTTATCCAAAAATGTAAGTCCAATGTACTTTGCGTTAGCACGAATGCTATGTGTCTAATCAAACACTGGAAAAAGGAATTGATGCAATAGTTATTTTCAAAAAGTGCTTGTTTAATCTCGTCTCAATTCTCTCTCTTTCCTAAACCTGAGAACCCCTAAACTGCAGGGTTTCTCAAACTTTTTAGCCAGCGTAAACAACTCAAACGTTCGTATTAACTTGACCACCCATTGATGACTTTGCAGCATTGTCTATCGAGCTGTTGGGAAGTAGTGCTCAAAGGACATCTTCAAACTTCGAACGATTTCACACATTTCATCAATCAACGTGCCGTTTGCAAGTTCCAGTTTGTTTTATTAAAAAATCATTTAACGAAGGAAAACATTCCACCTCTTCTTTCTCAACAGATTCATCCCAACACTGGATTTTGCTTTTGAAATTGCGAACTTTATCATTTGCATCGAAAGACATGCAAAGAAAGACTCATCTTATTTTATTTCATGTAAATAACAGATAAATACAGTATACATTGCCATTTCTCTTCAATGAAAACGTTGGCCAATGTGATATTGTGGTCACAACACAGATAAGACTTCAGAACGTAATTCCTGTAATCGTGAAAGTGGTCACATCTGTATAGTGAAGCAGGCAATGATAAAGATTCCCATATGTTGTGAAAAATTTTGACTTCAATGGCCGTGATGCAGATAATTGATAATTTGAACGGTTTCATCCAAAACTTTCTTAAAAAAGGCTGACATTTGTTTCATAGCTAAAGGATGTCTGTGGAAGACATAACGACTGCTGCTGAAATCCTTCGTTTAATTTATTATTATTATCACTCCAAAAATCGTTCAACAAACGGAATATTTCGGCGCCTAAAAATATCCCGAGTATTATAAGGGACGAAAGCAAATAAAATAGGCATCCCTGCGACGTCAGTTGATGCGTCGGTTTGGAGAGAAAATGAATTGTGTTGGATGCGAGAAAACAGCGAATCTTTTATATTATTTAATAAATCGAGTATCCTTAACAGAATTGTTCGATAATGGCACCGAACATATGAGTTTTTCATCAAGCATGCAAGATACAATATCGTTAACCCACGGTTTTATGAGAGTTTCAGCGATGGTATGAGCTTTACCTGTCTATCCCACTCGATAACTTATCAAATAAGATGCTTTTAGTGAGTTTTAATGAAAGTTTGAAAAGCAGCCAGATCAGTGCGCTTCCTCATGACAATGTCTGTCGGTTTTCCCCGGATTTTTGGATGTGTAGTCTCAAAATGACAACGCGATTTAACTGGAATCGTTAAAGTATTTCGAAGTACCTTCGCGTAAATCACACACTGAGCTACCGACGTCAGCGTCTAATAATCCCGAATCTGTGTGGTACTTGCCCTTTAGATATTCCACATCCACTGGCCGTTTGACCTATTCGGAGACTTGTAGAATTTGAGCATGTTGGATCCTGCTGAGCTTCTAAGGCTTTCTGCTCATTTAGCTTATCGTCAAGTAATTTCCTCATTGGAAGGTTGTCCTTCCGCCTCATCAATTCCAATTCGGTGTTTTCCTGGCTGTGTAGGTGATGAAGAGGATGCTTCCTCGGAGATCCTGACTTCAGCCACCAATCCATCCTGGAGTAAATAACTGATCAATCACAAAAAGGTAGTGCAGTCGCGATCGAAGTTTGAGCTTGAATCCCATTTTCGAAAAATACCCCATAAGTGTTCCCATAAGCAAAAGTTCCCGATAATAAAGGACCCCAGTGCCAACAATGAAATTCTTAAAAAGCCGATCGACTGTCTAGTCCCGTCTATCTTTCTTACCTATTTTGCTTACGTGTGCACAAAAAATAAGTACAAATAACAAACTTTCATTTTCATTACTCATTGTTATTAGTTTTTTTAAATTTTATCGTCATTCTACGTTTATTTTTTCATTTTCCTCGAAGTTCACCGCGGAACCCCCCGAGTTAGGTCCACTGTTTAGGAAACCAAAAATCTCCTCAAAAAATCGTTTGGAATATCTTAACAATGGCGATGATTACGCAAAAAAGTGAGCCACTTCCTAGTCATATTTGAAAGGGAGTGATATTAAGGACTAACAACTGTACTCAACACAGTAAGAGTAAAAAATGCTGTAGTTGTAATTACTTAATAACAACGACTTATTTATAAAAATACCACTAAGAAATGTTTTTCGCACATGATTAAAACTTAGAATTTATGTTAGTTATTTTTCCAAAATATGGTTACGTATGTCAACCCGGTACTGTTCCGGAAGTCGTGGGTTCAAGTCCTGCTCATGACACTAAGTTTTCAACTCGACCCTACTTTGCATGATAGTTAAAGTAATGACTTCGCTCAATACGGCCAACTAAAAAAAAAACTTTAATATATTATTAATATTAATTAAGGTTTTTAGTTGAGATGAAAAAAAAGCTAATGGCACGAGAGGGATTCGAACCCACGACCTTCGGCTTGATACGCCGCTGCTCTACCACCTGAGCTATCGTGACCTCGATCCTCCCGGACATCAACTCCCCACTCAACCCCTACCTTATGAGTTGTGTAATCGGTTTGGATTCTCGACGACAATTGAAATGGCGACGGAGAGCTTTAGTGAAGTGTACTTCAGTTAATTCATTAAATTCACTAATTTCGTGGTCCACTTGACCAATTAAACATTACAATTAATTAAGGTTTTTAGTTGAGATGAAAAAAAGCTAATGGCACGAGAGGGATTCGAACCCACGACTTTCTAAACCGATTACACGACATTTGAAAAATGGCAAAAGGAGGGAAAACTCATAAGGTGGGGTTGAGATGGGGAGTTGATGTCCGGGAGGATCGACGTCACGATAGCTCAGGTGGTAGAGCAGCGGCGTATCAAGCCGAAGGTCGTGGGTTCGAATCCCTCTCGTGCCATTAGCTTTTTTTCATCTCAACTAAATACCTTAATTAATTGTAATGTTTAATTGGTCAAGTGGACCACGAAATTAGTGAATATATTATTAGTATAAGAAGTTCGCTAAACTGAAAAACTAAATTATTTTATCGATAAAACATATTCTTTTTCTCCACTACTTTCATAAACAGTTTTTTCATCCACGAATAACAAAGCTTTCTACATGTGGACCTTTATCGGGGAAAGAAAACAGAATGGTTTGTCAAAGGGGTAGAATATTGTTTGTAAAGACCGAATCGTCATTCGAAATTCCCGAATGACGTGTGCTTTGATTTCACGGTCCTGAACTGAACTCCTTTAACGAAATATTTTCACACAATTTGTTTTGAAATGATTCTATGTTGAACTCTATTTTGATAATGGTCAATTATTTAACACCCGTTTGAAATATTTTATTAAGTTTCCTAGCTTGTTTCGATTTCATACATTATTTCTTATACTTTTACCTACAACAAAAGTATATTATAACGTCAATTAAAATTACCTCC